GTGAGTCATACAGTTAAAATAGCTCATTAGTAATGATCGCCAGAATTTAGTAACACATTAAGAACAGGTCAAACGTAATTGTAGCCAGTACTGTGCCATACAATAAGAATAGATCAAGAATAATGATATTGAATCTTTCAAAAGGAACAGATCATTATTAATGGTAATTAATGTTGATTTACTCTATAACTCCTCCTATTCGGTAGAAATAGATCACCACTATTGGTAGCCAGTAGTAAGTCACGCAGTAAGATCAGATCAACAGTAAAAGTAGGGAATCGTATTATATAGTAAGAGCAGATCAATATTAACGGTAGGGAATCTACAGTAAGAACCGACGAACACATATGGTAGTGGGTCATAGAGTGAGAACAGACCAACTATAATGGTAGCCATACAGATAAAACAGACCAACAGTAATGAGAGTGAACCGTGCAGCAATTAGAGAACAGCAGTAATAAAGCAACTAAGGGGTCACAGAGTTAGAACCAATCAACAGATTAACAGTAATGGTAGAAATCATCACAGTAAGAACAGATCATCAGTAATGGTAGCCAGTAGTGAATCATACAGTAAGAACAGACCGACAATAACTGAAGTGAGTCATGCAGTAAGAGCAGACCTAAGGTAATAGTAGTGAATCATAAAATAAGAAAAAGCTAACAGTTATTGCAGCGAGTCATTAGGTAAGATCAGACTAACAATAATGGTACTAAGTTATATTGTTGGAACAAATCAACAGTAATTGTAGTGAGACTTATAGTATGAACAGACCAACATATATGGTAGTGAGTCTAACAGGAAGAACAGACCACCTTGAATGGTAGCAAATAGTGAGACATATATTAACAACAGATCTACAATATTTGTAGCCAGTAGTGAGTCATTGAGTTTAACAGAAAAACAGTAACGGCAGTGATTCATACAGTAATAACAGAACAGCAGTAATGGCAGTGAATTATTCAGTAAGAACAGACCAACAGAAATTGCAGCTAGTAGTGAATCATACAGTAAGAACCGATTAACATTAATTGTAGAAAGTCATTCAGTAAGAACAGAATAACACTAATGGTAGTGATTCACACAGTAAGAACACATCAAAAGTAATGGTAGTGAGTCATACAATAAGAGCAGCAATAATTGTATTGAGTCCTACAGTAAAAGAAGATAAAGAGTAATATTAGTGAGTCATACAGTAAAAACAGACCAACAGAAATGGTTGTGAGTAATAACAGATCAACAGTTATGTTAGGGAGTCATACAGTAAGAGCAGATCAACAATAATGGTTACCTTGAAAGGTTACCTTGAGATGGTTTCGGGCTTAGCAACCTCGCGGCCCGGTCGTCAATCAGGCCTCCTTACGGCTATGAGTCAGACAGAAATAACAGACCAACAAGAATTATAGCCAATAGTGAGTCATTCAGAAAAAAACTAACCAACAGTAATGGTTGTAAATCATACACTAAGAACAGATCAACAGTAATGGTAGATAGTAGGGAGTCATACAGTCATCTTGAAGTTATCTTGAGATGATTTCGGGGCTTTAGTGTCCCCGCGGCCCGGTCCTTGACCAGGCCTCCACCCCCAGGAAGCAGCCTGTGACTGCTGACTAACACCCAGGTACCTATTTTACTGCTAGGTAACAGGGACATAGGGTGAGAGGAACTCTGCCCATTGTTTCTAGCCGGCGCCCGGGATCGAACCCGGGACCACAGGATCACAAATCCAGCGTGCTGTCCGCTCGGCCGACCGGCTCCGGCTCAGTAAGAACAGTTCAAAAGTAATGATAGATAGTAGGGAGTCATACACTAATAACAGATCAACAGTAATAGTAGATAGTAGGGAGTCATACAGTAAGAACAGTTCAACAGAAAGGGTAGTGATTCATACAGCATGAACTGGCAAACAGTAATAGAGTGAATCATACAGTAAGAACAGATCCACAGTAAAGGTACAAAGTAGAGACAAAGTAAGCACAGGCCAACAGGAATAGTAAGGAGTCACACAGTACGTGCAGATCAACAGTAGTTCTTGTGTCAAACAGTAAGAAAAATCCAACTGTAATTTTAGTGAGCGATACAGCAAGAATAGAAAAACAGTAATTGTTAAGAGTAATAAAGTAAGAGCAAATCAACAGTAATGGTAGTGTCATACAATAGTAACAGACTAACAGTAATAGTAGCTAGTAGTGAGTCATAAAGTTAGAACAGATCAACAGTAATAGTAGCTAGTAGTGAGTCATAAAGTTAGAACAGATCAACAGTAATAGTAGCTAGTAGTGAGTCATAAAGTTAGAACAGATCAACAGTAATAGTAGCTAGTAGTGAGTCATAAAGTTAGAACAGATCAACAGTAATAATAGTGAGTGATTCAGAAGGAACAGATAAACGACAATGGTAGTGAGTCATGCAATAAGAATAGACCAAAAGTTATGGTATTGAGTCATAGAGTAAGAACTGTCTAGCTGTAATGATAGCAAGTAGTGAGTGATACAGTTAGAACGCATCAAAAGTAATGGTTGATTGTCGTGAGTCATACAGAGAGAACATATCAACAGTAATTTTAGCTAGTAGCGAGTCATTCAGTAATAACAGATCAACAGTCAAATAAAGCCAGTACTGATTTATAAGGTAAGAACAGATGAACAGTATGGGTTGTGAGTCAAACACGAAGAACAGATCAACAATAATGGTTGTCATTGTTGTCATACAACACTGACAATGACATACAAGTTAAGATACTCATTGGGCGAGCGGGGAAGTGGGTATAGCTGATGAATAGTCGGAGACAAGAAACGTTGCAGTTGAAGAGATGGTATAAGGACTTAACCCAGCTGCATGACGATTACTGAGGCGCAATACCAGGCCGGCTAGGCTAGGATACGGGGTCTTCTTTCTTCTGTGGCGGTCATCACGTAGGTGGTTTTGGTTCAGTCAAGAAAAGCCGAAACAAAACGAACAAAAATAGGTCACTATCCCCCTAAACAAGGAAGAGGTGGTTATCACCTCCTGTCTTGTGGTTGGTAGCTGCTGTCACGGTTTTACAGGCGTTCCGTTTCATTCCAAGGACCCTAGAGCAGGCAAACAGGGGATGGAAGACATGGGCGAGGATGCAGAAATCTTGAGCTAGGGACTGGAGACAAGTCGAAAAGGGGGGGAGAAAGGTCGGTGGCCCAACCACCATGGGTAAGACTTGCAGCTGACGCTGTGGTTTGTACTTTTAATTTCTTCCTAACAGCTATCCGGCTGGCTTAGCTTCTAGTTCCAATGCCGCTGGTGTAGAAGGAGCCAAAGTCGTCGTGTCTTGGCCTTTGTACTACATTGCTGTTCAGTAGGTCCTTGTGGAGAGTGACCGGATCGCAGAATCAGTCGACGACGCACTGAGCAATGGTGATGACTGCTGAAGACGGGGTGGCCAGGGAGCCGGTCGGTCTGGAAGCAAGTAACCTAGTGGGTCATTGCTAGAGCAACAGGTAAACGAGCTAATTTGACTGCTGCAGATGCTGAAGGGTCGACCGTTAGAGGTGCTGGAGAGTGGGTTGCCGCACTGGAGGGTGACTGTTGTGTGTTCAATTGGGCGATAAAAGGAGCACCAGCTGGTTGGCAGATTATGTGCAGTGAGGACCTGGTTCAGGATGACAGCAAACATCTTATTGTTGGGTCCTGCCAGCCTGTAAACCAGGTGGAGTATAGCGGGAAGGACATGGTCTTGTTCTCCGGGTGTGGCGTCCGTGGATGTTGCGGCTGGGTCGGAGGTAGTTCTTGGCGCTGGGTTTGTCTGTCCCATGGAGACATGGTGTCGTGTGTGCTGTGCTCAATTGTGCTGGGAACTCCGTTGACTGGATATTGAACGTCCGGGCTTGGTGTGTAGGAGGTCTGGCTACTGCTATCTTCTTCAGTTCAGCCCAACAAGAATAGACCAAGCCAGTACTGAGTCATACAGTAAGAACAGATCAACATTAATGGAAGCCAGTAGTGAGTCATACAGTAAGAACAGATCAGTAGTAATGGTAGGGAGTCATACAGTAGGAACAGATCAATAGTAATAGTAGTGAGTCATACAGAAAGAACTGACTAACAATAATGGTAACCAGACAGGGTTCAAGACAGAGATCGTCACGGCCCCTTTTCACCCAAGGCCGCCATCCTTCATGACTTAGCAGAAGGAAGAGTAATAATCACCAATTACAACATTTATTATTAAAATTATTATAAAATGATAATACAATTAATTATTAATTATCATTCTTCCTTCTGCTGGGTCATGAAGGAAGCCGAAATCGGGTGAAAGGGGGGCTGTTTCGACCCCTTTCTGGAACCCGTTGGTTCGGGGCTCGGACATCCACCTCCCGGGGCTCGTGTGGCCAAAGCTCTACTTCAGGAGGCTAGGGTTGTTCTTGCCCTCGCTGGGATGGTTCTTCTCCGGTCCCGACTACAGCGATCTCCGGGTTTGGAGTTCCGGTGCCTTCTCTTACCAACTTCGAGGTAAACTCTGGAGCTAGAGCCCCTAAGGCAATTCGTTGTTGCCTACAACTTCGTTCTGACAGGTCCTGCGGCGGCGCTGGAACCAATCGTATCGGCGTTTGCCTTTCCATTAGAGATTTTCAGCACCGTGGAGATGGGGGAACTGCTGCATGGGCAACAGCTTCTTCCCCGTATTAACATACAGTAAGAACAGATCAACAGTAATTATAGTCATAACGTAAGAACCGATCAAAATTAATTGTAATGAGTCATGCAGTATGAACAGACCAACAGTAATGGTTGCTAGTAGTGAGTCATTCAATTAGAACAGATCAATCATAATGATAGTGAGTCATACAGTAAGACCTGATCAAGAATATTGGTAGCCAGTAATGAGTTATAGAGACATCGGCTTGTTAGAAGACATTCATATATACCAATTATGATACTGAATGCCCAAATAGTGATGATCGACGTAGATAATATCAAGCTAGTTTATATGTAAATAGACACAGTCATAGACGAGATACTCTTACCGTAGATGTATTCATTTGTGGTCTCGTAGTATCCAGTAAGCAAATGAACAAACACTGCAGATGATGTGCTCATGAATTGAAAACTGACGAAACAAGCATTCGCTGGATACAGTTTTTTGAAGATTCTGCGATCGTTTTTCAGGTACAAAGCTGAGGGAGGGACACCTTGATTAGAATTTTAACTTCATAATGACATCTGCAAAATTCATATGTAATTACATAACGAATCCAAAATGACACGAAATATGAATAAGGCAATCATTTGGAGCAGTGTGGGAAATTCAACTAGTGTTTTGGTGAATACCAGGCATATTCCTGGTATTCACCAGGACACTGGTTCATAATGACATCAAGCTTGTTTGATGTCATTATATATATATATATATATATATATATATATATATATATATATATATATATATATATATATATATATATATATATATATAATGTCGTACCTAGTAGCCAGAACGCACTTCACAGCCTACTATGCAAGGCCCGATTTGCCTAATAAGCCAAGTTTTCATGAATTATTTGTTTTTCGACTACCTAACCTACCTAACCTAACCTAACCTAACTTTTTCGGCTACCTAACCAAACCTAACCTATGAAGATAGGTTAGGTTAGGTTAGGTAGGGTTGGTTAGGTTCGGTCATATATCTACGTTAATTTTAACTCCAATAAAAAAAATTGACCTCATACATAATGAAATGGGTAGCTTTATCATTTCATAAGAAAAAAATTAGAAAAAATATATTAATTCAGGAAAACTTGGCTTATTAGGCAAATCGGGCCTTGAATAGTAGGCCAAAAAGTGAGTTCTGGCTACTAGGTACGACATATATTATATATATATATATATATATGTCGTACCTAGTAGCCAGAACTCACTTCTCAGCCTACTATTCAAGGCCCGATTTGCCTAATAAGCCAAGTTTTCATGAATTAATTTATTTACTATAATTTTTTTCTTATGAAATGATAAAGCTACCCTTTTCACTATGTATGAGGTCAATTTTTTTTTATTGGAGTTAAAATTAACGTAGATATATGACCGAACCTAACCAACCCTACCTAACCTAACCTAACCTATATATATAGGTAAGGTTAGGTTAGGTAGCCAAAAAAAGCTAGGTTAGGTTAGGTTAGGTAGGTTAGGTAGACGAAAAAACATTAATTCATGAAAACTTGGCTTATTAGGCAAATCGGGCCTTGCATAGTAGGCTGAGAAGTGAGTTCTGGCTACTAGGTACGACATATATATATATATATATATATATATATATATATATATATATATATATATATATATATATATATATATATATATATATATATATATATATATATATATATATATATATATATATATATATATATATATATATATATATATATATATATATATATATATATATATATATATATATATATATATATATATATATATATATATATATATATATATTAGTATATTTTGGTAGCAGTCTTTCCTGTAGACATATATTATTAAATATGACCGAAAAAGTAAGATTAATAATTCTAACACGAATTTTCTCAATCTTTCGTACATTTCTTTTCACTGTTAGAGGTAAATCAAAAATCAATTCTCCAAAATTCATTTTTATTTCTAGACTGACGCGACACGAGCGCGTTTCGTAAAACTTATTACATTTTCAAAGACTTTAGTTTACAAATACACAACTGAATAGAACTTACGCATCTCCGATTTTATATCTACATTTGAGTGAGGTGGATGGGGTGAGGTGGCATTAATAGGGTATTAATTTCATCAACACTAGACAGAACAAGAGGTGGCATTAATAGGGTATTCATTTCATCAACAAGACAGAACACGAAACAATGGGTATTGAATAGAAGTGTTTGTAGAAAGCCTATTGGTCCATATTTCTTGATGCTTCTATATTGGAGCGGAGTCTTGAGGTGGGTAGAATATAGTTGTGCATTAATTGGCTGTTGATTGCTGGTGTTGACTTCTTGATGTGTAGTGCCTCGCAAACGTCAAGCCGCCTGCTATCGCTGTATCTATCGATGATTTCTGTGTTGTTTACTAGGATTTCTCTGGCGATGGTTTGGTTGTGGGAAGAGATTATATGTTCCTTAATGGAGCCCTGTTGCTTATGCATCGTTAAACGCCTAGAAAGAGATGTTGTTGTCTTGCCTATATACTGGGTTTTTTGGAGCTTACAGTCCCCAAGAGGGCATTTGAAGGCATAGACGACGTTAGTCTCTTTTAAAGCGTTCTGTTTTGTGTCTGGAGAGTTTCTCATGAGTAGGCTGGCCGTTTTTCTGGTTTTATAGTAAATCGTCAGTTGTATCCTCTGATTTTTGTCTGTAGGGATAACGTTTCTATTAACAATATCTTTCAGGACCCTTTCCTCCGTTTTATGAGCTGTGGAAAAGAAGTTCCTGTAAAATAGTCTAATAGGGGGTATAGGTGTTGTGTTAGTTGTCTCTTCAGAGGTTGCATGGCGTTTCACTTTCCTTCTTATGATGTCTTCGACGAAACCATTGGAGAAGCCGTTGTTGACTAGGACCTGCCTTACCCTACAGAGTTCTTCGTGGACTTGCTTCCATTCTGAGCTGTGGCTGAGAGCACGGTCGACATATGCGTTAACAACACTCCTCTTGTACCTGTCTGGGCAGTCGCTGTTGGCATTTAGGCACATTCCTATGTTCGTTTCCTTAGTGTAGACTGCAGTGTGGAAACCTCCGCTCTTTTCCATGACTGTTACATCTAGAAAGGGCAGCTTCCCATCCTTTTCCATCTCGTAAGTGAAACGCAGCACGGAACTCTGCTCAAATGCCTCCTTCAGCTCCTGCAGATGTCTGACATCAGGTACCTGTGTAAAAATGTCGTCAACATACCTGCAGTATATGGCCGGTTTCAAGTTCATGTCGACTAAGACTTTTTGCTCGATGGTACCCATATAGAAGTTTGCAAACTGGACACCTAGGGGAGAACCCATGGCGACCCCATCTACTTGCTTATACATGTGCCCATCCGGGCTCAAGAAGGGTGCCTCTTTAGTACAAGCTTGGAGTAGTTTCCTCAGAATATTTTCTGGTATGTCAAGAGGAGTACAGGCTGGATCACGATACACTCTGTCGGCTATCATCCCGATTGTCTCGTCCACAGGTACGTTGGCAAACAGCGATTCTACGTCCAACGAGGCTCTTATCCCTGTGGCCCGTGTGCCACGCAGTAAGTCAACAAATTCCTTTGGAGACTTCAGGCTGAAGGCGCAGGGAACATAAGGAGTCAGCAGGCCGTTGAGTCGCTTCGCCAGTCTGTACGTGGGTGTGGGTATCTGGCTAATGATTGGCCGAAGTGGGTTTCCAGGCTTGTGTGTCTTGACATTTCCATACGCATATCCAGGTTTATATTCCCCAATGATCTTTGGCAGGTGGAGTCCGGATTTCTTGGCGTTCACAGTTTCGATCAGTTTGTTGACCTTTGCTTTTAATTCGGCTGTAGTGTCCTTCGTTACCCTTTGGAACTTAGTTTGGTCAGAGAGTATGATGTTCATTTTCGCCAGATATTCGTCTTTTTTAAGAATGACATATATTGGCGACTTGTCACCTCTCCTGACAACTATCTCCTTGTTCTCACGAAGGCTTTTAGCTGCCGCTTTGAGCTCGGGGGACAGTATGGTGCTTCTGTAATTGCCTCGATTCTTTCCTCCTTCTGCAATAAGTTCTGCTTGTAAGGTATCTTTGGTAGTGACCTTCTTTTGTGTCTCGAGGTCGAATATGTCGTCCAACAAAATTTCCAACTCTACTTCCCGGGCCATCTCACTCAGTCTGGACATAACATGACAGTTTATGCCCAGATTTAGGAGTGACTTGGTCCTCAGTGAGGTTAATTCCTGCAAGGTTCAGGAAGCCATCTCTTGGTCGTGGAATTGCCATAGGTCCTCCATATAATGTTGTTAGTTTCTTGATAATCCTTGTTTCAGTGCTGAGGTGATGTTGGTCTGTGAGGATGTCGAGGTGTTGTTCAATGCGGGTACGGATACTTTCGTCGATGTTGCTATTTCTCCACTCGTTTGTAGCATGAAGTAGTTGCGTTTTGTTGTCTTTGATTTCATTCTCTGCCTTGTATATCTGATCACGAATCAGATTCTGGCGATATTTTATCGTGAAGGCTTGATTCCTTGCTGCTGGGTCGTGCGCTTTAATATTAGTAATGCCTCGCAAACGTCAAGCCGCCTGCTATCGCTGTATCTATCGATGATTTCTGTGTTGTTTACTAGGATGTCTCTGGCAATGGTTTGGTTGTGGGAAGAGATTATATGTTAAATAAAAATGAATTTTGGAGAATTGATTTTTGAATTACCACCAACAGTGAAAAGAGGAACATATAATCTCTTCCCACAACCAAACCATCGCCAGAGAAATCCTAGTAAACAACACAGAAATCATCGATAGATACAGCGATAGCAGGCGGCTTGACGTTTGCGAGGCATTACACATCAAGAAGTCAACACCAGCAATCAACAGCCAATTAATGCACAACTATATTCTACCCACCTCAAGACTCCTCTCCAATATAGAAGCATCAAGAAATATGGACCAATAGGCTTTCTACAATCACTTCTATTCAATACCCATTGTTTCATGTTCTGGCTTGTGTTGATGAAATTAATACCTTATTAAATACCACCTCACCCCATCCACCTCACTCAAATGTAGATATAAAAAAAATCGGAGATGTGTAAGTTCTATTCAGTTGTGTATGTGTTAACAAAAGTCTTTGAAAATGTAATAAGTTTTACGAAACGCGCTCAAGTGTCGCGTCAGACTAGAAATAAAAATGAATTTTGGAGAATTGATTTTTGAATTACCACCAACAGTGAAAAGAAATGTACGAAAGATTGAGAAAATTCGTGTTAGAATTATTAATCTTACTTTTTCGGTTATATTTAATAATATATGTCTACAGGAAAGACTGCTACCAAAATATACTAATATATATATATATATATATATATATATATATATATATATATATATATATATATGTCGTACCTGGTAGCCAGAACGCACTTCTCAGCCTACTATGCAAGGCCCGATTTGCCTAATAAGCCAAGTTTTCATGAATTTATGTTTTTTCGACTACCTAACCTACCTAACCTAACCTAACCAAACTTTTTCGGCTACCTAACCTAACCTAACCTATAAAGATAGGTTTGGTTAGGTTAGGTAGGGTTGGTTAGGTTCGGTCATATATCTACGTTAATTTTAACTCCAATAAAAAAAAAATTACCTCATACATAATGAAATGGGTAGCTTTATCATTTCATAAGAAAAAAATTGGAGAAAATATATTAATTCAGGAAAACTTTGCTTATTAGGCAAATCGGGCCTTGCATAGTAGGCTAAGAAGTGCATTCTGGCTACTAGGTACGACATATATATATATATATATATATATATATATATATATATATATATATATATATATATATATATATGTCGTACCTAGTTGCCAGAACGCACTTCTCAGCCTACTATGCAAGGCCTGATTTGCCTAATAAGCCAAGTTTTCATGAATTAATTGTTTTTCGGCAACCTAACCTACCTAACCTAACCTAACCTAACTTTTTCTGCTACCTAACCTAACCTAACCTATAAAGATAGGTTAGGTTAGGTTAGGTAGGGTTGGTTAGGTTCGGTCATATATCTACGTTAATTTTAACTCCAATAAAAAAAATTGACCTCACACATAATGAAATGGGTAGCTTTATCATTTCATAAGAAAAAAATTGGAGAAAATATATTAATTCAGGAAAACTTGGCTTATTAGGCAAATCGGGCCTTGAATAGTAGGCCGAGAAGTGCGTTCTGGCTACTAGGTACGACATATATATATATATATATATATATGTGTGTATGTGTGTGTGTGTTGTACCTAGTAGCCAGAACGTAGTACTCGGCCTACTATGCAAGGCCTGATTTGCCTAATAAGCCAAGTTTTCCTGAAAAAATATATTTTCTCTAATTTTTTTCTTATGAAATGATAAAGCTAACTATTTCATTATGTATGAGGTCAATTTATTTTTATTGGAGTTAAAATTAACGTAGATATATGACCGAACCTAACAAACCCTCCCTAACCTATCTTTATAGGTTACGTTAGGTTGGGTAGCTGAAAAAGTTAGGTTTGGTTAGGTTAGGCAGGTTAGGTAGTCGAAAAACAATTAATCCATGAAAACTTGGCTTATTACTCAAATCGGGCCTTGCATAGTAGGCTGAGAAGTGCGTTCTGGCTACTAGGTACGACATATATATATATATATATAATATATATATATATATATATATATATATATATATATATATATATATATATATATATATATATATATATATATATATATATATATATATATATATATGTATATAATTTTTTTTATAAAAGTAACACACAACGTACATCATAAAGAAACATTACACAAAACACCGGACAAAAGAGAACAAAAAGGGAAACCCTAAAACGGGCATGGGATATATCACATAAACAGAATGGTACAGACAAAGAGCACAAGAGATAAAAAAACATAAAACAAAACAACCCACAACCAACAACCAAGAACCCGACCCACGACCACTCACCCAAAAGCAGCCCCACGAACATACGCACCCGTAAACCAACCGCAAAAATAGCCCGGAAAAGCACGCTGCAGCCACCACCAGGTGTACCGCAAGCGGCCTCTCAAAAACCCCAAATCCCTATCAACCCCATAACCCTCCCTCCGACCAACCCACACACAATACACATAATCAGCAACGTGAAGACATAACGTATTTCGCACCCGGTGAGAGCCCCGCGGAAAAGACAAGAACAAAAATAGCAAAAACCAACCCCAATACCCCGGCCCGCAAACCACCACTCACAAAAATAGAAAACATGCAACTGAGTCTCAGGCAACCCACAGTGTACACACGCGTCAGATTCACGCAAACCCAGCATGCACAACCGGACAATCGTCGCCAACGACAAATGCAACATACGAAACAACAACTCCCGTTGCTGCGGAGCCAGAAACCGCACCCCCAACGCCGCTCACACCCCCTCCCAGTCCCAATACGGGAACAAACCCTCCACCCGCGGCCGAACTCGACGAAAAAAAACATAAACCGCCTTAACGTACAAAGACATGAAACCTGGACAACGGCAGACAGCCCGAAGAATGTCCACCGCACAAGAGTAAACAGGAGGGGTGCAGAAGGCCACCTCCCGACAGACACCCAAATCAACCGAAAAACTAAGCCTAACCGAGCAATAAAAAACACGCAAAGCATTGAGCCCCCCACCCAGCTCCAACCCCTGACACAACGAGACCCAGAACAATGCCCGAGCCCTGATAAACACATCCGGAATCCCCACCCCACCCTCCCGCACAGCTAACACCATCGTCGAGCGACGAACTGGGTGGTACCGACTGCACCAGACGGACCTATAGACCTGACGTTCCAACGCTAGAGCCAGCCGGCGATCTAGGGGAAAACACTGAGCTACGTACCAGACACGTGACAAAACCTTGCAATTACCAAGCAACGCTAGCTGATAAATCGTCAACGGGCGCGCAGCCAACAATCCAATTGCAACACTAACACTACATGAAACCGCACCCCAATTACACTCCAAAGAATGCTCATAGGAAGCGAACCAGGAAATCCCCAAAACACGCATAGAGGAGACCACCGGAAACCAAGACCCCACCCACAGAAGGCAAGAGGACCACGCACCAATACCCATAAGACCGGACTTCTCTCGATTGACCCGGGCCCCAGTGGCCAACTCAAACCTCTCAACCACAAACTGGAGAGCCTCAACAGAATCCTCAGAGGCCATGAACAGGTTGGTATCATCCGCATATGGGTAATCGAAGATCAGACGGCAGCTGGGGGTGGCGGATCAATGAACAAGCCTTGACTGCCCGAAAAAAAGGCTTCTGAAAGAACACATAAAGGAGCATAGAAAGCGGACAACCCTGCCGCATCGAGCGACGCACAGGGAAAGAATCACTCAAGAACCCATTGACGCAAACCCGACTACAACATTGAGTGTACAACATGCGCACCCAACGAACAAACAAAGGCGGAAACCCAAGCCTCTCCAACACACGAAAAATAAATGCGAGCAACACACGGTCGAAAGCTTTCATCCAATCCAGGCAAAGCATTGCCGCCGACGAGCGAGAACCCGACACATACAAGATCACATCCCGAAACAACGCTTTGCACTGCAATAACGAGCGACCCGGAATACCACAAAATTGTTCCACAGAAACAACAGACGCAACAATACAGCGATACCGACCAACTAAAACCTTGGACAGGATCTTATAGTCCATATTCAGCATAGTAATGGGCCTCCAGTGCGAGAAGAACCGCAAATCACCCGGCTTCGAGAGGAGCCGCACAATCCCAACGCACTGAGACATAGGCAGAACGCACCCCCAAAGACAAGTCTGGACCACGTCCAGAAGAACATCCCCCAACACATTCCAAAATGCAACGTAAAACTCGACAGGAAGACCATCCGAACTCGGCACCATTCCGGAATGAAACGACCGGACCACCTCAAAAAGCTCCCACAACGAAACATCTTCCACCAAACCAACACAATCCGCACCAGACGACCCCGGAACACACCGACCCAAGAAGTCCTCCGCAAATGCTGCATCTCCTACCACCTCCCCATAGAGCGCAGCCAACTCCTGCCGAACATAATGCAACACACCACCGGTGTCCGAAACAACGGTGCCATCCGGCCGTTGCAGAGCCGTAAAAAGAACAGAGTCCCACGCAGCCCTCACCTTCCCTAAAAGAAAAGTAGAGAGCCGTTCCCCGTTCTCACGCTAACTCACACGAGCACGCACACGAACACCCTCAGCCCACTCATTCCGCAAACCACAAATACGCTCCTTACACTCCGCAATCTCCCCAAAACATTCAACCCCAGCATTGAAGCGCACATACAACTGCGAAAGACTCGCCTGTAACAACCCAAAGCGCCCAGCAGCCTCACGCTTGGCAACCACGCAAAAGAACAACCGACACTGCACCTTACTCCACTCCTACCACTCCAAAACAGAAGGAAACGCACACCGCCGGGCCAGAACCCCGACCCACCAAACCCGAAACTACCCACAGACCCGCGGACAACGCAACAACCCACAATTCAACTTCCACCACCCCCGCACCAACTAGCACTTGACTGGGCATACCAACCCGGACCACCACTAAACTATGGTCCGAGAATGCAACCAGGACAGTGTTGAAAGCAAACACAAAATACTTCCCGCCAGTAACATACACCCAATCAATCCGTGAACGCGCCCCACGCGCAGTAAACGTAAAAGACAACTCGGCCTCAGAGAGCACAGCAGCGTCCTTGAAACCGCAAGAACGTACCACCTCCAGCAGCGCACCTGAGACATTCTGCGGGCGAGCGCTACTACAGTCCCGCGCACTCGTCACGCAATTAAAGTCCCCCCCAAAAAATCATACCCCGCGTATTATGACGCAAGAAAGGGAGAAGCCCCACCCGAAAAAACTCCTCCCGCTCCCCAAGGTGCGCCGCCCTCGAGGGGGCGTACACCGTCAGAAACAATGACGACCCCCAAAAATTCCACCCTCACAAACAAAACCTGCCCATCCTCGTCCATCTCCGTGTGAAGCACGGAGAAGGAAGCCCTTCTAGAAAACAACATAAGCGTCTCCCCGAAGGACGTCCTTGGCGGGTTGAGCACAACATGAAAATGCACACTCAAGCACTGCAACACAGACATCATGAACATTATGCTCCTGAATCAGAGCCACATCCAAACGCTGCTCCTGCAGAACACCCAACAGGCCCAACTGGACACCAAGATCATTCAATCCCCTAACATTCAAAGTCGCACATACACCCGAGGGCGCCATCGCGAAAGCCTCAGGACACCCGCAACAAGATGCGACCCCCGGAGGACCCATCCACCACCGAAAGCACACCACGCCGCACATCCGGACGCACACCAGCCTGGACCCCAGGGTCCAGGCTGGTGTGCGTTCACTCACACTCACTGTGATAGATGCCAGGCACCGCATCAAGCCCCACGGAGGTTGCTCCTGCAGGCGCCCCAGTGCTCCCACCAACCGGAACAGGGGCAGAGGCCCCCCGACGTGCATCCTTCGATAACACCACTACCAGGTCGTGATCACCCGGGGCAACCGCCCACTGAAAGGAGCCATCAGCAGGAGGCACAGCGTCCAACACAGAAGGCACCACAGAAGACAACACAGCGACGTCCACAGCCTCATCATCCATCGCATCCCACTCCTCAGCCCACGTCCGGCGAGGCGACGCACCCCGAGCCCACGACGGCACTTAAAAAGAGGCCGCTGATCGTCGGAACTGTCACCCTCAGCAAGGGTGCCCCAGAAGAACCAGCGGCAGGCGGCCTCAAAGCCGGGGCAGCATGATCATGCAGAGCAGTAGCCTCAACAGCATGGGGCATAAGGCCACTACCATGCCCGGAGACCGGCAACGGAGATGGAGCAGACACAGCAGGAGCAGATGCAGCAGGTGGGAGAACACACCCCAGCATACATGAGGTATCCATTACGGACGACAAAGCCGGCGCAGGGGAAGAGGCACTGGGGGACCGAGGAATCCACCGAAGACGACGAGGGAGACGAGGCAGAGGCAGAGGGCGGGGGAGAGGACTCACCCACCATAACCCCGACAGCCCCGGCAAGCAGACGGTAGTCGGTAGGAGAAGCAGGCACCACCTTTACAGCAGCATCCAAAGCCCCCACGGAATCAACCGGATGTACCTCCGCAACCACCGAACGACGAAGATTGAAAGCAGGAGACTCCAGGACCACAGAGCTCACCAGAGGGGCAGACTTACCAGGGCCAGACGGAACGCCCGCCGAAACTGCCGCAGGAGCCACACCAGGCACCAGGACAGAGCGAGGATTCGCCGAGGAAACCCCACACTCAGATAAGCAGGGAAAGTCACCCTCCAGGAAAACCAAAGGCATCTCAGCACGAGGAGCGTCACAGCCGGCTGCCACGTAGCGCTCAGCACCACACCAGAAACAGGTCCATGTCTGTTTCTGGTTTCTCAATTAACAGCTTCATTAATTCATTTCCCTGATAAAAGATCCGTAGAGGGAGCCCACGATACACAAAGCTGGACGGAATAGGGGTCGTGACCCGCATGACGAGCGTACGAGCGCCCATACGGACCCCTCTCAGCCAGCTCGCACTCAAAGTGTTGAAACGGTGGTTCACCACTACACCATACCGCGTAAATACCGACCGCAGCTCGTCCGCGGGGAAAGCTATAGGCACACCGTGAACACTCTCATATTTAAAGGGCCCCAAGGGATCCGAAATCTCCACGGTCACAGCCGAATCAGGAATAGTAATCGTGCGGGCATCCCATCGCGCCACAAACTCTCGGCAAAACAATGTCTTGGCGAAGGACACCGCCACTCGGGTAGGCGAGAGCTTTTCCAGCCCCAACAAATCAGGGACGTCCACACGGAGCACATCCTACAGCACTACCTCCACAATGGACTAGTCCACAGCACCCGAAAAATCCAAACTCACCGTGTCAACCCGCCGAACGAGGGTATCACCACCAACAACCATACCGCCAGCAGATACACCGCACCGCAAAACCGCACCCGCCCCCTCTCAACACCAGGCAACAACTGGCAAGTCAGGCGAGCACGTCTTGCCCCCTGGTGGCCAGGGAGCGAAATCATATATGAATAAAATTGGAAATGTTCGTTTGTTCAAAATCGTTAATCTCCGAAAATACTTCACTGATTGCTTTGAAATTTTCACACATCGTTCCATTCGCATCCGAGCAGGTTTTTATATACATACTATATAGATGTCACGTCTGTGAGGGTAAAAAAAAACATGCTTCTTCTGAAAAACTATGTCTTTCATGTGTTTTTCATGTGAGGGGAAATCTTAGAAACATCTTTACCGATTGCTTTGAATTTTTGAAACAACGTTGCATATGAATAGGCGCATCTTTTTATATATCTACTATATACATGCCACACCTGTGACAGGAAAAAACTGGATTTTTTTTAAAAACAGCACCATCTGTTGGATGTAAGGGCAACACATGCTGTAATCTCCGAAAGTTCTTCACTGATTGCTTGGAAATTTTGACACAACGTTGCATTCGAATAGGCGCGTCTTTTTAAATACCTACTATATAGATGCCACCTCTGTGACAGGTAAAAACATGCGTGTTTGACAAACAGCGCCATCTGTTGCACATAATGACAACATGCATCTGATACTAAATATGTCACAAATTCCATTTCAATGTTTCCGATTGCATTGATAAATTTTATTTTCATAGATTTCGATTTATTTTATTTTTTAGTGAATTATATTGTGTTGGAATCGAGTTGTGTTATTTACCATACCATTCATTTTGTAAGTATAAGTATAGGTGCCACACACCTGTGACAGGTAAAACTATGCTTTTCTTGAAAAACAGCGCCATCTGTTGCATGTAAGAGCAAAACATATGCTATACTAAATATGTTACAATTTCATTTCAATGTTTCTGATTGTATAGATAAATTGAATTTTCCTAGATTTTGATTTATTTCCATTTTGATTTAACTATTTTGAGTGAATTGCGTTCGAATTGAGCTGTGTTGTTTACCGGACTGTTCATTTAGTGAGAATAGTTTATTTTTGTATTTTTTTATATTTTTATTTTATTTATAACTGTTTTTCTTATATTTCAGTGATGGGAACATCAGATCACTTGACGTTCCCAATTTTCTAATGTGAACAACAGACCATTTGGAAAGGCATCAGGCGAGGGAGTGGGGAATGGGGAGGATGATGAGGGGATGGAAATGAAAGATGGTGCAGAGGACGAGGGGACAAGGGAGGGGGTAATGGTGGGGGAAGGACGATGGGACACGGGAGTTTGGGATGGTGAGGACAAGGGGATGGGGAAGAGAGAATGATGGGGGAGGACATAGGGACTGGGAAGTGTGGCATGGTGGGGAGGACAAAGGGACAGGGGAGTGGGGCATGATGGGAAGGAAGAGGGGATGGTGGAGTGGGGAATGGTGGGGTGGACGAGGGGACAGTGAAGTGGGGAATGGTTGGGAGGCCGAGGAGACAGGTGAGGGGGGGGGGGAATGGAGGGGAGGACTGGACACAAAGAAGATTGTTGTGGCTCAGCAACACACATGCGTTGTTGAGCCACAGCAACGCATGGCCGGGTACTGCATTCGAATAGGCGAGTGTTTTTATATATCTACTACTAGCAGTACCCGCCATGCGTTGCTGTGGCTCAGTCTGGTTAAATGAAAAAAAGAGAAAGTGCACGTTACTAATACATTAATTTTCACAATGCTTGTAGTATACAATATTTTTTGTTGTTCCACTGTCTGTGGAGATATAGAGATTGTCTGGTTTGCCGACTCTAGAACACGCAACATATAATTGTCCATGTGAGAAGCAATCCGTGTCTAGCTTTAAACTGCACAATTCTAAAGATTGGCCCTGAGCTTTGTTGATGGTAATTCCAAATGCCAATCGAATTGGAAATTTTAGTCTCTTATATTGAAATGGCATATCTGTTGGAATCATAAGAATGCGAGGAATGAGAACAACTTCACCTTTGAAAGGCCATGTCAAGTGGCTTTAACAACGTTGCTGATTAATTTTTTTACTGCAAGGTGTGTGACGTTGCAAAGTTTTCGCTGGTTGATATTTCACAACATGATAATTGGCACGCCGATTTTCAATTGCCGTTCGTGTGATGGTATTCCAGGGAGATCGAGTGAATTCAAATATTCTGTTGGATAATTAACCGCTTCATCTGCTTCCTCAACAGTGTCGACGGACTTGTATGTGACTGCCTTGCCTTTGAATGTTAAACTGAACAATATTGTTAAGTTAGTGGACGATTTTGTTCTTGGCCGCAAGAAGAGCTCGTTCATTCAGACAATCGTGATTCTTATAATTGGGAAATACTTTCTCAACAAATTCTTCTTTTGACGTCACTAAATTGTAGAAGTTTTGAGGGAATGAAATTCGTCCTGAGGTCAGATCAACCAGCATGTTTCCGTTCCCAATTTCTAGAAATTGATGTGAGAATATCCCAGCTGATGGATCGTTTTGCTGCTAGACACTCATATTTGTAGTTAATTTTAACGTCTTTACGTCGCGCCACAAAGAAGAGTATTTCAGGCGAGAATTTAATTCGTCCGCTGGTGTCGATCGAGGAATTACAGGTAATGTTTGTCTGAAATCTCCTTCCGGTAACATCCATGCGTTTCCAAATGGTCTGATGTTTCCACTCAAATCTTGCAATAATCGATCAAGAGCCTCGAACGATTTTTTTGGGCCATTGTGCATTCATCCCAAACAATAAGTTGACATCTGTGCAATGCTTTGGAAATGTTGCACGTGGGAGTTTCAATGAATTACATGATCAATGGCAATTTCATAGCCGAAGTAGTAGTTCTTCCACCTGGTAGCAGCTATTTCGGACGATGCAAGAGCTAAGGTTATGCCATTTTGGGATCGAAATACTGCCAGAATCAATCTAATTAGGAGGGTTTTATAGTTCCTCCTTGCGCATCTAAAAAGATTTCTCCAAACCCGTTATTGACCATTTGAATTATTTGATTGTAAATGCCTTTTCGCTCAAGTATTAGCTGAGGAATGTTTGACTGCACATGCGACAACAGATCACCCGTGTTGTAATTTTGTTCCCGACGCAATTCTACATCGAACGAAGCAGGAGCAGGTCGATTTGGTGATGGCATTTCCAATTTTTTTAGAACTTTTTTCGTGATTTCTAAGCACAAATATTCAGTCATTATCAACGCTTCGTTGTATATTTCTGATATGAAATCTATTTTCATATTTGAATTTTCCTTGTGTATTCGACGGATAATATCTTCAGCCATGTGCGATTTATATTTCTCCCACAACTCTGATGGAGACGAAAGTGGTCAATATCATTGCAAACAATGCTCGAATTTGATTTGTATGTGACATGTTGGACGCTTCATTAATTCATACATCCCAGTGTCGGTCGATCTCCAATAAATTAAGAGTTTGACATGCACTATGGAAAGTGGCATAAAGTATGCCGATGCCAAATCTCAATGACTGGAAAGACGTTGGACCTGGCACGTTTACCAACAGCATGAGAAGAAGGAAGCATTCATCTTGATTGGGATGCACCGTGTGCAGTCTGCCTATCGTAGTTTATTTGAATATGCCAGGTCGTCCGTCGACTCGCTCTCCTCGTTTGCATCGTTTAAATGATTTTCTATTCGCATTCTATGGGTAATATGTAGGCACTTCCGAACACAGCAGTGTTTTTGCAAACGCGTCCTTTTGACATAACGTGAAGAAAAGAGTTAACGTTGTAGCCGGTAATTCTTGGCTGTTTGTTGCACATTTGCAGCTGTGAAATAAATGTGTTATCCATTTTCTCGTTTCCAAAACAAAAGAAAAAAACACTAACGAAATATTTCAATTCAAACGCAGATCAATCGACACAGCTCAAATTCGCCACCAATTGCATTGAAAAATTAGAAGAACAGTTAAGAAAACGAAATGAAAACTATGAAAATGAAACAAATAAGCTATACCAACGAAATGAACAGTAGGTAAACAACACAGCTCAACTCCAACGCAACGTCACACAAATAAAAAATCATAATGAAAATAAATCAAAATCTATGAAAATTCAATTTATCAATGCAATCGGGAACATTGAAATGGAATCGTAAGATATTTTGTATATCGTATGTTGTGTGGGATATTTGGAGCCTGACTCAATTTATTTAATTATTAAATGAATGAAATGAATTACGAAGGACCACCCACTTCTAAGAAAAGAGGGAAACTAATAGAAAGGGATCATTAGAAACACAAGGAAGAACCAGTGTCTATGGATAAATGTTATGAAGCATAATCACTTAAATAATTAATGGGCTGTATAGTTAATTAACTTAAATCAAAGGTTCAAACACCTACATTGGGGGGTTATTGCTAGAACTTCATATACGTCTAGGAACTAGTGTGGTTCGTGCACCAGTTCATTGTGTAATAACTCATCTTATGACCAAATTATTAAAGAATCAGAAGAAGATTATCACCAGAAATTATAAAGATTATTAACATGGGAAATAATCATCAAAATAAACACATATTGTCTCCAGAGTACACGACGAGCATCTTATTAAGTAGAATCGTGACTGAATAACAAGATTTGGAGTAATTGAATGGGTACAAAAAGTCTTAGCTTTAAGACGATTTCTAAGACATCATCCACGCCTCGTCCTCGTGATCTCCGGAATTCCTCGTAGAAGCACTTAGAGGTGAATAACACGAAGTTAGGTAACAGTTCCTTGACTCCTCACATGCGAGCTGTAATTTAAGGGATATTACGTAGCATTGAACTAGGCTACTTGAATCACAATATCCATGAAATACAAATTAAATTTTAGTGTGGTACTAACGTTGGATTTGTTGTGGTCGCTCGATATAACGACAAGCTGCCCCGACATATACAATCTCTAATGATGCATCTAAAAAGAACTATATACTTATCTAAGGGTACAAATTATGTTGAAGCTTGCCGGTATCGCATCTCATGCTCAAACTTCCACAATGTCGTACACGTGG